TTTTTTTCTTTGAGATGGACTCTTGCTCTGTGGCCCAGGCCAGAGTGCAGTGGCATGATCTCGGCTCATTGCAACCTCCGCCTCCCGGGTTCAAGTGATGCTCCTGCCTCAGCCTCCCAAGTAGCTGGGATTACAGGCATGCTCCACCACGCCCGGCTGATTTTTGTATTTTTAGTAGAGATGGGGTTTCACCATGTTGGCCAGGCTGGTTTTGAACTCCTGACCTTGTGATCTGCCCTCCTTGGCCTCCCAAAGTGCTGGGATTATGGGCGTGAGCCACTGTGCCCAGTTGAGACCCCATCTCTTAACAACAACAAAAAAGAACCAAGCATACCTGGTGTTTTATAGTTGAAAAATTCTTAATTTTCCAGGAGACAATAGGGTATTCTGGATTTTAAAATAGAGCATAGGACCATTTTCCTTAGTATGATAATACTTTTGTTTTAAAATAAAATGAGACCCCTGAGTTGTACCTTCACGAGGCTAGAGGGGCCGGGGAACGTATTCCCCACCTCCCCCGCCCTCACACACTCCACCACTGACTGTGGTGGAGGAACAAATCCTCTTAGGCCAGTGCCCCACAAAACTCTACCAAAGCTCACTCAGAATACATGCTTTGGAGCATCCCAGAAGTTGCCAAGGAAGAATGGTGGCATTTGGCTGTGAGATGCTGGACACAGGACCCAAGGGGCATGTTACTCTCTTGGCTCCATGGAGCACTGTCAGCTACAGTGGAGATATGCTTTACGACAAGTACATCATTCTCCCTGGCCACTGTGGAGTGCCCGACCAGGTGGAGTGGTGTCCAGAAGCAGCACATGGTGAATGTCATGCTCTTCAAGATTGCTTGTGACAGATCTTGAAGAGACAGGGAAGATGGTGGGGCTTGCCATCCACGATGACTTCAAAGCCCTTCAGAACTTTCATCCCAAGTCCCTCACCAGTGACAACTCCCATATCCTCCTCCTCCTTCCCAAATGGAAGGCTGATTACCTGGTGAAGGTCACCATGTCTTTGAAGCGTCTCATCAAGAAGCTGCTGAACGGGGACATACGGGTTGGGAAAAGCAGGCATTCCTCTGTGAAAGACACCCAGGCCGCCATGGAGCTATACAAATTGGTTGAACTTGAGTGGGAAGAATACCTTGGCCAGAATTCCCCAAAAGACTGGTGACAGTGGCGATGGTGATGTGGGGAGGCAGAGGCAGCACCAGGAGCAATAGGGCAGTGGACCAATGGATAGCTCAACCAGGTCTACATCTTTGGAAGCTAGAATTGTTGGTGAGAGAAAACCTCTACTCTAGATTTAATATCCATTGAAATTCCATCTCTGGAGTTATGTCCTGTGTCTGGTTAAGTGTTCCGTGAAAAGAGGAAGCGTCCATGTCAGAACCAGTGCTGTATCCTTTACCTCTTACATGGTGCTGTCCCCAGGTCCCTGGGTGCTCTGTGGCAGTGAAGTGTTTTATCTTTCAAGGGACAGGGCATACTGGGAAATGTAGTTTCCCATAGTGCTTGATCACTAGGGTGGCTATATGGCTCATTTTGTGTCTTTTCTTCTTGAATAATTGACAGCACCCTCTTTTACTCTCAGAAGTTTCCTGGTTGGATAATAAATTATATGGTCCCATTTCTAAAACAGCCTCTGCTTTTGGCCCACAGTCTGCATCTAGTCTGTTTTAGGTTTTCGCTCATTCTTCCTACCTTGACTGCCAGAGGTACCATTGCAGGTGAAGTTTAGTTCTCCTTAGGGTTCCAAGGCAGTGGAGGTAAGAGGGTAACTTGGAAATCAACTTTTCTGATTTAGGAAAGCAATCTCTTTCCTAAGATAATAGAGGTTTTATTTCATGTAGGTCCCAGTTGATACATTAAAAAAGAATTTGTAAAGTGTTTTTAACCCATTTATGCCAGGGGTTGCAATTTTTTTGTGTGAAAAATCAGATCTTGGTGATGATCTTGAGCCGTAGGATATAAATAACTCCCATAAGCTTAGGATTCCAGTAATGGAACACTAGGCATAAATGGGTTAATGGTTTTTAGTCTTTATCTTGCTAAACCAAGCCCCTAAAAACTCTTGATTATTCCCTTGATACATTTTTATAATGGAAAAAATAAAATGACCGTAAATTTCGGACTTTTTTTTTTTAAGGTTGCACGTACCTGCTTGTATATGTGTAACACACCCCTTGGAAAATATAAAAGAAACTTTTTTTTTTGGAGACAGAGTTTCACCCTTGTTGCCCAAGCTGGAGCACAATGGCGTGATCTCGGATCACTGCAGTCTCCACCTCCCAGGTTCAGCGATTCTCCTGTCTCAACCTCCTGAGTAGCTGGGTTTACAGGTGTGCACCACCATGCCTGGCTAATTTTTTGTATTTTTAGTAGAAACAGGGTTTCATCATGTTGGCCATGCTGGTCTCGAACTCCTGATCTCAGGTGATCTGCCCACCTCGACCTCCCAAAGTGCTGGGCTTAACAGGCGTGAGCCACTGCGCCCTGCCAAAAGAAACCTAATGGATACCATTAGGTAGTAAAACGGAGGTGGTGGTAGATAGTGTTTATGGTCTGTTTCTTACTTTTCTGTATTTGAATTTTCATACCAGGCACATGCACTACTTTTACTGTTTAAAAATGTTGCCTGGACACAGTGGCTCACGCCTGTAATCCCGGCAGTGTGGGAGGCCGAGGCGGGTGAATCGTTTGCGGTCAGGAGTTCCAGGCCAGCCTGGCCAACATAGCAAAACCCCATCTCTACTTAAAATATTAGGATTAGGAGCCCATTTGAAATGTTTCCTGCCAGATATAAAACTTCACATTGTTGGCAGTTTTCACTTTTGTAGCTAGAGAATTTTTACCCTATAGATTGTTTGAGTACCCTATTAAATATTGTATAGCCTCTAGGAATAAGCCTTTCCGTTGACTCCCTGTGATAAATAGATCTTTTGTCAGCGAATCTTAAAATGCAAAACCAATTTGGGCAGTAGCGTACCAGTGTCTTTGCCTCTTAGGTATGTGAAATATGGCTCAGGCCCAGCTCGGTTCCCGCTCCCTGACATGCTGAAATACGTTATTGAATTTGCTAGTACAAAACCTGCCTCAGAAAGCTGTCCACCTGAAAGTGACACACACATGACATTACCACTTTCTTCAGTGCACTGCTCGGTTCCTGACCAGACATCAAAGGAAAGGTAATGAAAAGAGTTTTTTAAAAATAGTATGTATTGTTTTTTTCTGGTATAAACTATGCACCATCTTTATACCTGATTCACGCTCACCTATAAGAGCACAGGAGCTCAGAGCTCTTTGTCTTAAAGGGAAGGATTTTGCTGACTATCACTTGGGTGGGAGTGTTCTTAATTCTCACCAGTGCATTTGTCTTATCCATAGGATGGTTGAGTTATTTCAGAGGCTTCTCGAAATGTCCAGGATAGTGTTCAGGTTCCACCCAGGGCTGCCTTGTTTTGAACTACAAGCCAGCTACCATTAGAAGCCTTTCTCAGAGGAAACCTCAAGCCCTGCTCTTCCAAAATCTCTCATGCTTCCACACTTGAAGTATGCATAACTATGTAAACATCAAGGAAACAGAGACTTATTCCTGAATAGAAAATTAAAACTTGAGAAAGAACTGGCTAGAAATAAGAGGACAGCCTAGAGGGGCTTGTCTAGTAAAGTCAGAGGGAGATGAAGTCACAGGAGCCTCTGATTTTATTCCAGTAGCCAACTGCAACAATGTCTATTACCTGGGGGAGCCACGAAAAGTAGCTAGGACATTTGATATGTGTGACCTGGCTAATGGAAACACTAATACCCAATAAAAAGTTAGACAGTTTTGTCAAAAAACCTTAACTATTTTCCCTAACACTCCTCCTACAGGTATTAATATTTATTCATCCATGTAGGCATAGAAATGCTTGTTTGGATAGAACATACCAAATGTCAAGAATGATTATCTCTAGGGAGTGACATGAGTCTGGGGATAGGAGTAGGGCTGCTCTTTCACTTTTTATATTCTGCTTAGATTTTTGAATTTCTTTTAAAAAATAGAATCTTTTAATGTATATTATGAAATGTAAATTGAATTTTTAAAAAGTGGTTCGGCAGGCTATTTAATCAAATAAAATAATAGTCCTTGATATTAGATTTAAAAATTACAGGGAAGTGTATGTGTGTAATCTGAAATTGAGATATCTGTTCTCTTGTTGGGCTTATTTTTCCACAGGCGTGGACCTTAGGTAAAAGAGATTGCCTCCATTATTTTGTGCATGTGAGAGAGTAGGGAAAAGGGAGTGAGGGTTTTTTTTAAGCCAAAAGTAAAGAAAGTTTATATTCTTCAGCTTTGGTGTAAAAGAGAAATCTAACTACAATTAGAAGCTTATTTTATATTCTTACTGGTTTATTCACCTGCAGTTTTACTCTGTTTGACAATAGGTTAATAGAGAAATTAACATTTACTTTATATGCTTTATTCTGTCAGTTTATATTAAAGACATAAAGAATTTGACATTTATATTTTGTAGATGAGATATTATTTACCTGAGGCAAAATACTCTTTTCCTGGGGTATTTAGCTAAAGTAGTGGAGCTAGGATTGTCTGACTTGAAGCCCTACTCTCCCAGCTCTCCAAGGTATCACATAGTGTGTGTTCCTGTGAGTTGTATGTTCAGCCGATGCTTCCTTTTTCTTGCTTCTGTGTATTTTGTTCCTGGATGAATAGTACCACTTTAGTTGGGTTCATCTTGTAGACTCTGTGGTTGATTCCTTAATTCTTGCAGGTCTACTCTTCTCTTTTCCATCTTCCTTCTCTTCCCATCTTCATGAGAAGGAATAATCAATGATCAGAGAACATGAACTAAAGACTCTGACCGATCCGCCTTTGGATTCCTTTTCTTTACCTACTAGCTTGGTGAACTTGGACATGTTGCTTAATTTCTTTTTTTTTGAGACGGAGTTTTGCTCTTGTTACCCAGGCTGGAGTGCAATGGCGCGATCTCGGCTCACCGCAACCTCCGCCTCCTGGGTTCAGGCAATTCTCCTGCCTCAGCCTCCTGAGTAGCTGGGATTACAGGCACGCGCCACCATGCCCAGCTAGTTTTTTGTATTTTTAGTAGAGACGGGGTTTCACCATGTTGACCAGGATGGTCTCGAACTCTTGACCTCGTGATCCACCCGCCTCGGCCTCCCAAAGTGCTGGGATTACAGGCGTGAGCCACCATACCCGGCTATGTTGCTTAATTTCTTTAACCTTAGGCTTGCAGTTGGTAAAATAGGGGTAGAATAGTATCTGCCTCATAGGCCAATTGTGGTACATGAGATGATGTATATAGAGAAAAGGGTTGGCTCCATACCTTTATAGAGTTTATGCTCACTGAATACCTGTACTTTTTCATATAGCATCTTGCTTTCCAAAGTACATAATTTAAGCCAAGGTATCTTTTGCAAATTATCATTATGAACATGATTTTTGTCTTCCTCAGTACGAGTACAGAAAGCTCTTCTCAGGATGTTGAAAGTACCTTTTCTTCTGAAGATTCTCAACACAAGTCTAAACCACTTACATCTTCTCGGTCTTCCATGGAAATGCCTGCACAGCCAGCTCCAAAAACAGTCACAGATGAGGAGATAAACTTTGTTAAGACTTGTCTTCAGAGGTGGAGGAGTGAGATTGAACAAGATATACAAGGTTGGCTCTTTTAAAACTTGTCAGTTACTCTTCCTTTTCTGTTTTTTGACTGTTTGGAGGTTAAGCACCTTGGTATACTTCCTGACATTACTGTACATTGTACAGAATTTTTTTTCTCTCAAGATGGAGTCTTGCTGTCACCCAGGCTGGAGTGCAGTGGTGCAATCTTGGCTCTCTGCCTCCCAGGACATTTTCGTGCCGCAGCCTCAAGGGTTTATAGGCACGTACCATTACACCTGGCTAATTTTTGTATTATTATTATTTTTAGTAGAGATGGGGTTTCACTGTGTTGGCCAGGCTGATCTTAAACCGCTGACCAAAAGTGATTTACCCGCCTTGGCCTCCCAAAGTGCTGGGATTACAGGTGTGAGCCACCACAGCTGACCCATGCTATTGAATTTTGACATGGTATTTGTGGCTTCTTTTGTTCTTTTAGTGCCCTGTAAGCTTGGCCCACATACCCCTATTACAAAGATGTGGAAAGATCCTCCCTCAAATTTTCTGGGAAATGATCACCTTGCTGGTATTTTTCTGCATCTGCTGATTCCTGTTTCTGTGGTAGTTTATCTAAACCCTGGCTTAAGTTGACCCAGATTTAGCATTTAGCTTTTCTGGACTTCTGCTTTTAACGTCTTTTCTATATGAAGCATGCTTTACTGAAAGTTAACAAGGCAGGGTATTTGAGCAGTACACACAATGTAAAATTGGATTATTCAGCATTGTGTTCTTAAAAAGTCTTTTGACCTCATTGCCCATATTGCTCAGAATAGCCTCACCCCCACTTCCTTTCTCCTTTTGTCTAGGGAACAAAAAGAAGATGGAAATTCCAGATTCTTCCCAGATTCCTATTCAGAGAAATTTAGCCTTACCCTTTGTTCTGTTTTCTCATTTCAGATCCTGTCTGAGACATACATTTTACAGCCAAGTGACCCATTAAGATGTTTTCCTAATGGCTTAATCTTTAAGAAATTTTGATGCCAATTGTAAAAAATAATTTTTGAAACCTTAATATAGTTACATTGAACTAAAAGCCTTCATAACCTAAAGTACTAGCTGCTTTAAAACTGTATACTGTTCCAATGCAAGACACATGAAAAAAAAAAAAAGAAACAAAACTGTATACTGCTTTGTGGTTCATAGAGGGAAGCTGAAATCATTAGGACCCTAAGCAATTTCCTTTGCTTAGTTGTAGTAGCCTGTATGACATAGAATGAGATCATTTTAATAAAGCTTTTGTTTTTCTTTTTCCAAACAGATTTAAAGAATTGTATTGCAAGTACTACTCAGACTGTTGAGCAGATGTACTGTGATCCTCTCCTTCGTCAGGTAGAATGAAAATTGATGGGAAAGTGGTCAAGGCATGTGCTAATGGTAGATACAAAAATAAAATTTGATAGTTTTTTTAAAAACCCAATAGGAGTCTCCCTAAGATATAAGAATAAGATATCTTAAGATAGAAATTGATGTTATTCTGTTTCTTTATTTTAGGCTAAAGAAAGCAATATATATTTTTCTTACCAGCAACAGGACCTAACACATACTTGTTTGAATTCTACCACAGAGAATTTTTTCATATTGTAGAAAGGTTTGTTGTCAGATTTTAAGAAAAAGTACTCACAAAATGGTACTTTTAAGTAGTGCAGTGGAGAAAACTGAACTAGGGACAGTTACCTTTTCTTTCCAAAAGTTCCATGATTCTTCCAGATTTTTCAATATAGCAACATGCTTTCAAGCTTTATTTCTATAATAATGAATTCCAAAAGGGAGTTGGACAGGACAGAAATTCTTACTATCTACACAAGTTTTTATTTAGAATAAATTCTGGGAATGGAAGGAAAAAGAGCTTTCTGAACCTATTCTGGTTAGGGGGCATGACCTTTCCGTGGCTTCTGTGGGAATGGATGGAATGGGCAGAATGGCTGTAGGAGCAGAGCCCTGCTTCTAGAATCGCATTGAGGCAGAGTCCCATTGCTTAACAGGAAAGCTCCATGTGAAACTCAGGTTTCCCCATTTTTTCTGTTGTGTTATTTCAAAAATCTTCACCAGTAATTAAAGTAGGTCAAAGTACTGATTAAGTGTAAGTTTAATTTGATTCTGTGATTGACTTTCATTTCTTTTTCCAGTATTTAATTAGCATTTAAGAATTGCTCTATTTTCTCCATATTGAAAATATACATATATGCTTTTCAAATGTTGTAACAAATATGTCATTAAAAGGGTCATCACTCCAGATAGGGAGGTGATCACTTCACTCTAAGAAGCGTGTGGCTGAATTAAATATGTTAACTTAAATTTTGGTGCCAAATAAAACAAGTATAGAACAAAATAGCTGCCAACCTTGTTTTTAGGTCTCAAATATGCTAAGCATTTTCAGCAGGAGTGGTCAAGGTGATTCTATTTTTAGATAAACAAGGTTTTGAATTGGAAGGATGTATATGTTTAGGTTATATTTGGTTTTAGATCTGAGGGCTTTAGAGTTGAATCTTCAGAGAGGTCATGTAGTTCAACGATCTGGATTTCAAGATTTGGGAACTGAGACATAATCAGCTCCAAGGCTGTGTTTTCAGTACTTCATCTTGAATCAACAGGATGTTTTAATATGAACCCCATATTAATCACATGCATAGTCATTTCTTAATAACCTAAACTTTATCAGATTACTTTGCTTCACCTGACTGGGAAATGTACATTCTGACTTACAGGTGCCTTATCGCTTGCATGCAGTTCTTGTTCATGAAGGACAAGCAAATGCTGGACACTATTGGGCCTATATCTATAATCAACCCCGTCAGAGCTGGCTCAAGTACAATGACATCTCTGTTACCGAATCTTCCTGGGAAGAAGTTGAAAGAGATTCCTATGGGGGCCTGAGAAATGTTAGTGCTTACTGTCTGATGTACATTAATGACAAACTACCCCACTTCAATGCAGGTAAAAATATCTTGGCAGAATCTATACACAGGGGAAAATCTTTACTGCTCAGGGAGAAGCACAGTCTTATACTGCTTTTTTAAAAATTTAAACTACAGCTTACTATTACATAATAATACGTTTCAAAAATATAAACAGTATGAAAGGGAATGAAAAGGAAAAACAAGTTCGATTTACTACTACTTCCTTGACCACTGGTCCCACTCCCCAACAAGTGTACAGTGTTAGGTTTCTTATGTAGTCTTCAAGACACGTTGTATGCATATGCTAGTTTCTATTTATTTTATCTGCTCCTCTTATCCCCAAATAGGTTATTTTTTGATTCAACTCTGAACCTTTTTCATTAACCAAGTATTTATCAATCTCTATATTTTTAGAAGAAGAATCTACTCATTAGTTTTAACAACTATATAATAATTCATTGTATGGAATGTACATATTTTAAAAATTTATTCAACTTGCCTCGCATAGATAGACTTTGTCTCTAGTTGTTGTTTTTAGTGACATCTTTCTTTTTTTCTTGCTCCATCTTATGGTGCCGATAGTGACATTTTGTACATACATTTTTGCACCCTTTGGAGAATAACTAATTTTTTTTTTTTTTTTTTTTTTTGAGACCAAGTCTTGCTCTGTCACCCAGGCTGGAGTGCAGTGGTGCAGTCTCAGCTCACTGCAACCTCCGCCTCCTGGGTTCAAATGATTCTTCTGTGTCAGTCTCCCAAGTAGCTGGGATTACAGGTGCCCACCACCATGCCCAGCTAATTTTTTATATTTAGTAGAAATGAGGTTTCACCATATTGACCAGACTGGTCTTGAACTCCTGATCTCAGGTGACCATCTGCCTCAGCCTCTTAAAGTGCTAGGATTATAGTCGTGGGCCACCAAGCCTGGCGCAGAATAACTAAATTTTACAGGTGTACTTGCCGGAATAGTTTCACAGTTGTCATAATACTACTACTCATGCTAAGAGCAAGAATACTTATTTATATTGGTACTTTAATGCTGAAAGCATACTTTCAAACTTTATTTCTCTAAGAACTTACAACTGTAAAAGGGAGGGAGGAAGGTTAGAAAATGTTGTGATATTCATTTTCCAGCTGGATAACAGGTTCTAATGGCTCTAAAGTTGACTAATCACATAGTCATTAAATAAATAGCAGTCCCAAGATTCAAATATAATTCTCCAAATTCTGTGGTGTTTTCAACTTATATTATTCTGTCTTTCTTCACATCCTCTATGAGAGGTCTTATGATGAGCATTTTGCAAGTAAGTTAATAGGAACCTTTTGCTTTTAGTATTCAAACTTGACTGTGTTGCATAAGCCCTGGCACAGTGGCTCACACCTGTAATCCCAGCATTTTGGGAGGCTGAGGCGGTGGATCACGTTAGGCCAGGAGTTGAAGACCAGCCTGGCCAACATGGTGAAACCCTGTCTCTCCTAAATACAAAAACTAGCCAGGTGTGGTGGTGTACACCTGTAATCCCAGCTACTGGGGAGGCTGAGGCAGGAAAATCGCTTGAATCTGGGAGACAAAGGTTGCAGTGAGCTGAGATTGTGCCACTGCACCCAGCCTGGTCAACAGAGTGAGATTCTGTCCCAAAGCAATCAACACGTAATGCAGTTCTGTCCAGGCAGCACATTATCTTAATGATGTGTTAGTGTGGTTGGGGATTAGGGAATGGAGAGAATGATCATTGAACAGTAACGGATCTTCACAATTGTATATTTATGGTGTGAAGGAATGAGTAACTGCTTGTGGGAGTTATTGTAACAGGTGAAATGTGCTAGCTGTTGGTAGTTTATAGGAGCCTTGTTATTGTGTACATGGTTTATTTTTGTATTATAGAAACAAACAAGTGGAAACTGTCATTTGCTTAGTGAAAAGGCTGATTAATGGTAACCAGTAAGTGAATGTGTTAATCTGATATAGGATTTTTATTTTATTTTGGTCACAGGGTTAGAAAATGAAATTTAGAGCC